GACCTGAGCCAAAGTCAGATGCTTAATCCACTGAGCCACCCAGGTGCCCGGGAATATTTCTGTAGCAATCAGACCAAAATACACTATTTTGTATGTGTATATGTTTTGTATAATGCAGTAGACAAAGCTAATGGATATTTTAGTATCATTTGTGTCCAAGTTTTTGTAATTTCACCATCAACTAAGGAAGATATGTGCTTAAAACAATTTAAAAGGGACTGCTTGAGTCGCACCTCTCTGTTTTTTCCCTAGGAATGTTGGCATCATGATAGGAAGCAGAGGATAGAATCCTTTTTTTTTTTTTAATTTAATTTAATTTAAAGGAAATAGTCACAGGGGCACCTGTGTGATTCAGTTGGTTGAGCATCTGGCTTCAGTTTAGGTCATGATCTCATGGTTCATAAGTTCGAGCCCTGCATCTCTGCTATCAGCACGGAGCTCTCTTTGGATCCTCTGTCCGCCACCCCCCACCACCCCTCCCCTGCTCATGTGTGTGCGCTATCTCTATCTCAAAAATAAACTTAAAAAAAAAAGTCACAAATATAATGAAGTATCTCGTTTTCCAGAATGTACTACAGCTCTTAAAAGTACAAAGCCTCACTGTGTTAATGTAGTAGTTTTAAGAGCTTTGCAGACGAGGGATCTCTCTCCTGGTTTAGTGACAGCTCCTGACTTTGGGGTGTTAGAAGGAGTAAAAAGATTTATCTTGGAGAGCTCACTTGTCCATCTGACGCCTGCTGTTAGATTGGTCCTTCTCATCACAGTCCGAGCACCTTCTCACTTTGCAGATCTGTTTTCCTGCCTTTGAGTCTGGTTCAATTTCCTTCTTGTCAGCAAGGGGTCAGGTGCTTTAGGTCCTTGTGCAGGGAGCTTCCTTCCACTACCACACAAGGGCCAGACCACACAGCACAGGTGGATGGATCTGTAGCCTGAAGATGTAACCCCAGGCCCACTGCTGGGTCAGTGACATGGAGGCCCAGGACACTTGCCTTCTGTCTGCTCTGCCTGCCAACCAACATATGTACCATCACATTGTCAAACAGCTTTATTGAGGTATAATTTATATACAGTTCACTTTGGAGTATTTTTTCCAGTGTTCTATTACAAAAATTTTCAGACATATAAGAAAATTGAAAAAATTTTATAACAAATACCCATAGATACCCACTGTCTAGATTCTATAACATTTGACTATATTTGCTTTATCATGTTGAGACTACATTTTAACATAAAATAAAACCATTTGATCCTAGCACTTAGAATTTTCTTTCTGGTAGTACAACTACCTTTTCTTTCTTTAAATTTTTTTTTTTAATGTTTATTTATTTTTGATAGAGAGAGACAGAGCATGAGCAGGGGAGGGGCAGAGAGAGAGGAAGACACAGAATCCCAAGCAGGCTGCAGGCTCTGAGCTGTCAGCACAGAGCCTGACGCGGGGCTCGAACTCACAGACCGTGAGATCATGACCTGAGCCAAAGTCGGATGCTCAACCGACTGAGCCACCCAGGCGCCCCCTACCTTTTCTTTTAATGTTTAATCCTATGGGTTTTTATTCTACCTCTGTGATAACCTGGTTATAGTAGTTCCCCGTTATCCATAGGAGTACTTTTCCAAAAGCCCCCGTGGATGCCTAAAACCATGGATAGTACCAAACCCTATCTATACTATAGTTTTTTCTTGTATAGACATACCTATGATAATTTTAACTTATAAATTAGGCTCAAGGTGTAAGAGATTAACAACACTAACAATAAAAAAGAACAGTTATAACAATATACTATAATAAAAGTTATGTGAATGTGTTCTCTCTCAGAACATCTTATTGTACTGTGCTCACCCTTCTGGTGATGACGCGAGAGGCTTAAATGTCTGCATGATGAGATGAAGTGAGGTGGATCACGTAGGTGTTATGATGTAGCGTTAGGCTCCTGTTGACCTGACAGTAGTTCAGAAGGAGGATCATCTGCTTCTAGACTGGGGTAACTGAAACTGTGGAAAGCAAAACCACAGATAAGGGGTGGGTGTGGGGCGACTACTGTATTTAATTGGAGGTAACAGTGCTTAGATTGCTGCTACTTTAGCCATCAAGCCAGTGACAGAAGCCCCCAGTGATCCCTCTGGGGGACACTGAGTCATGAGGATGGTATTTTGCCTCTGCCTGCCCCAATTCAGGAAGCTGGAGCCCCCTGGGTTACACAGCAGCTGTGACTTCTGTTGGGACCTGTTGGAACTCGTCAGATGTAACAGCATGTGCCAAGTTCTTTGGGAAGTTGAATAAAATCTCACACGTCTGCTGGAGCTGACGGTGGCTGATCTTTGTTGACTCCACAGAATAAAAAGGGTACAGAGTTGCTGCTTGGAGTGGATGCTCTGGGGCTTCACATCTATGACCCTGAGAACAGGCTGACCCCCAAGATCTCCTTCCCGTGGAATGAAATCAGAAACATCTCGTACAGCGACAAGGAGGTAGGACAGGCCCCGCATGCAGACATGCCAGCAGCCCAGCTGCCAGCCTGTCCCCATCTCTCCTCCTCCCTGGACTTCTCCTTGTTATCAGTAAAATCCTTTACTCCCCAGGTTTTGGGTTTTTGGTTGCTGTTTCCTGTTTACAGAGCAGTATTGGCATCCTATTTTCGAGTAGCATCACTAAACCCCCCCTGCTGACCAACAAGAGGCTGGGAAGCTCAACTTGTCAAGACTAAACCCCAAAGAACAGTAAACCAACCAGAAAGTAACCTTGTCTTATTACTTGCCTTTCCATTTCTGGTGAGAAATTCTGTTTGTGTTTTTCAATGTGGTATACATTAAACCCTCTCTCGGTGTCTAGTGCTTGATACGTAGGGTGGGGATATCTGTCTAAGTATTTATCCCCACATGTATATATACGTATGTGTATCTCTTTCTGTCTCTCTGTGAGGATATAAATAAGAATATCAGGCTAACTGCTTATGAGAATTCAAAAATAATTAAGTTTGAATCACTTGGCTGAGCACTCTAAGTTAGAAGTCAGATGTTCCTATACCGGATGGTGATCTTTCCCAAACACTGTAATCTTAGGTTTGTTCATTCACTCGTTTGTTCTCTGTTAATTTTAAAGGAATTATCAAGCATCTGCTTTGTGTTAGTTTTCGTAGGGGAAACAAAGATGTAGAAAAGCCAGTCTCGACCTTCAGGGAAGTTACAGTCCAGCAAGGACCGGACTGCTGTGAGACAGGCCTGTAGCGCAAGGGACTGATGACACACGTGATAATGATCCGGTGCTTTTCTGCTTTCATAAGCGCTCTCAGCCCGACTCTGATTTCTCCTCCTAAGAACATGCTGCAAGAGTAGGGGCCGGGTTTGGGGTATCTGTGTCACATCAGGAAGTGAAGATGTGGAGGGATCAGGCGACTTGGTGATTGGTGAAGGGAATAGCAGGGGCTAAGCTCCATGTTCACCAAAGCCATAGCCCTGGGGGCACTTTTCCGATGCAGGGCGCTGAGTAGGAGTCCTGAGAGCACAGGGTACTGGGCAGAGGGCAGTAGGCCTGGATGGTGCTTGGTGACACACAGCTGGGACGCTGAGTGTGGAATGAGGAACAGTGATGGCTCGTGTTGCTGCCTGCAGAGCCCCCACCCTGAGCAGATTTCCTGTTTTCCCTTCCCTTGTAGTAACTTGAGAAAGGGAACACCAGGCTCCTGGTTTCCAATACGTGGTTGAGATCTACTCGGCCATGCTTGATGAGACAGATTGAGCTTCTTAATTCAAAACATTCTGGCTCTGAAATTTTTTGTTAAGTAGCTCAGAAAAGGAGCATTTAACTATTGCTTTTTTTTTTTTTTTTTAATTTTTTTTCCACGTTTTTATTTATTTTTGGGACAGAGAGAGACAGAGCATGAACAGGGGAGGGGCAGAGAGAGAGGGAGACACAGAATCAGAAACAGGCTCCAGGCTCTGAGCCATCAGCCCAGAGCCTGACGCGGGGCTCGAACTCACGGACCGCGAGATCGTGACCTGGCTGAAGTCGGACGCTTAACCGACTGCGCCACCCAGGCGCCCAAACTATTGCTTTTTTAAAATACTTAAATTGAAAGCCCCACATGACTTAAAGTAGTAGGTATGCTATGGCACGGTAGTTTTTCATCTCTAATTTCATAAAGTCTGTTTACTGCATATCCACACATTTGTGTGCTAAAGGCTCCCAAAACACTCTTTCTTCACAGAACCCAAGGATTAAAGTCTCCCCTAGTATAGCCTGACACAATAAACTCTAATATACCCTCTCCGGGGGCAGGGCACCATCATGTTCCATCATGTCAATAACTTCGTGCAGTAAGAGGACCTCAAGCTGACTTGACATAATAGGAAGTAGTCTTAGTAGTTATGCATGACAGCCGTGCTGTCAAAACAGAAATGTTGGTTTATTTTAAGTGATCCATTGATTCTTTGTGCGCGTCCCGGCAAAGCCTGTGGTTTCCCCACTGTTTGTGGTTTCCCACTGACGGCTCCGGGGTTTGACTTCAAAGCCAAAAATAAGCTCAAGAAATTCACGAATAGCAGCCTACACAAGAGCAATAGTGCTTCTAAGTTAGCTTGACCAAAAGCTAACCAAAGGATCATTTTCTGTCCTCAGTATGCTAACCCCTCCTTCCTTGGACAGTATAATATGCAAAAGAAATACCCAAAAATACATCTTCCCAGATGTATTTATCTGCTTAGCACGGCTTTCTCGGGAATAGATATCCATTTTTTAAGTGCTTCTTTGAAATGGAGGATCTGTCTGGTCTAATCAGGAGTGGTTGAGAACAGCAATTGCCGTTTGTCCTTTATATGCTTCCCTGCCTGTGGTTTGGCCCTGGGATCTCCTACTTAGCTACCACCCTGTCCTTATCACTCATCCTTTTCTCCCCTTTGATTTCGAGAGCAGTTTCCCTCTGCTACCACAGTCTCTTCTTCGCACTTTATTCCTTTTATTAACAGCTTTCATCTGATAATCCCCACGTTCAGAAACCTGTGGTGACGACCTGTATGCTGTCACATCAAACCCAAACCCCTCCAACTGTCCACGCCCAGCCCACCCCTGCCTTCCTCCCAGTATGAGCCCGTGATATCATCTTAGTCATCAGAGAGCTAATAACGTCAAACACGCGCACACACACACACACACACACACACACACACACACACAGTCTGCTCATTTCTCTCTCTGCCTCATTTCTGGCGCTTGCCCTGTCCTGAATAGCCCTCCACCCAATCTTTTAGGTCCTCTTTCATATTCTCTTTGTCTATGACCAGCTGAAGTTCCCGCCTACTTATGGTAGATGTACTCTGAATCCCCACGACATTTGTGATTTTTGCCACCCGATGAGGCGCTAAGAGATGATGTAATTTAAGTAGCAGTTGAGTCATGAGTCTAGTTCCAGCTAGGTTGTGAGCTTCCTGAAGGCAGAACTGGGCCTGGGATGCTGCAGTGGGCTTCCCAGCATTGGCCTCATGGTCGGGCCCATCAGGGGTCCATAGTTCAGGTTTCCAAGCCTGAGATGGTGCTGACAGCACCCCTTCCAGGATCCTGACCTTCCACAGCCCCAGACTCCATGCCCTCAGCTGTTTCTAAATCACAGTGGGTTAGTGCCCGGGCGCCGGAAGCCAGGACAAGGCGCAGCCTTGTGCTGGATCTTTGCCAGTGTGGTTGCTGCTTTTGTGGAATTTCCTGGTTGGTGCTAACACTTTAGGTTGTCAGACTGAAACTTTTTCTGCTTCTTTCTTTCAGTTTACTATTAAACCACTGGATAAGAAAATCGATGTCTTTAAATTTAACTCCTCAAAGCTTCGTGTTAATAAGCTGGTAAGTTGAGATCCTAGTTTTTGTTACTAATAACTGTAGTTTTTCTAAGAAACTGAGCGCCTTTTTTGAGAGAGTGACCTCTTGTGAGGTGTAGAATGATTGGTAGCTCACTTGCTACACGCTTTGCCGATAGACTTGAAAGACTCTTCTCTTTAGCTTAACCTAACAAGTCAAACCTAAATTTTGTGATGTGGAATTTTTAAAAAGTATTTTTATGGAGGTAACTAATATATATAAAAGGATAAGTATAACGTGTATAGAAGGTATAAAGAGTGACAAAAAGGGGCACCTGGGTGGCTCAGTCAGTTAAGCGTACGACTTTGGCTCAGGTTGTGATCTCGCAGTTCGTGAGTTCGAGCCCCATGTTGGGCTCTGTGCTGACAGCTTGGAGCCTGGAGCCTGGAGCCTGCTTTGGATTCTGTGTCTCCCTGTCTCTCTGCCCCTCTCTGGCTCACACTCTGTCTCTTTCTTTCTCTCAAAAATAAACATTAAAAAAAATAAAATATAAAGAGTGACAAAAATAAATAGCTATGTGGGGTGTCTGGGTGGCTCAGTTGGTGTCTGGGTGGCTCAGTGGCTTAGATCATGATCTCACAGTTCATGAGTTCAAAACCCCCACATCGGGCTCACTGCTGTCAGTGCAGAGCCAGCTTTGGATCCTCTGTCCCCGTCTCTCTATACCCTTCCCCTGCTGTGCTCTCTCTCAAAAATAAATAAACATTAAAAAAAAAAACTACACACCCACTACCCAGCTTTAAGAAACCACACACTCCGATACTATTAAACCCCCCCATATTAGCACCCTGCTGGTTTCCCCCATCCTCCTCCCTGAGGGCAATAACCATTCTGAGCTGGGTGCTCATTATTCGCTCGCTTTTCCTCAGAACTTTATTTCCTATACAGAAAAATGAATGTACTATTAAGTTTTGTGTACTTTTGACATAAGTGCTGTCAACTGTCTATGCTCTTTTATCACTTTTTTTGTACATTATTTTCTGAGATGTGTCTATGTTTGATGCTTAAAGAGATGATCCCTTTATTTTCACTGCTGTATAGTATTCCATTGTGTACAGATAAATGTACACATATATACATATATCCACACAATGATACATATATATGTCTCCCTCCCCCTCTCTCCCCGCCCCCATATATATGTCATTTTCCTATTAGTGAATAGTGAAGTGCTTTCTACTTCTCTGCCATTTTAACAAAGCTGTTAGGAACATTCTCGTACCTGCCTCCTGCTGCACATGGGCAATAGTTTCTCTAGAGAGTATCTACTTAAGAGTACAAGTGCAGGGCTGTAGTGTATGTCCAAATTCAAGATTAAGCCATGTTGTTTTCCAAAGGAGATGAATTAATTTACAGATGCAGTGCAGTGGGTGTGACTTCCTTTTGCGTTATGTCTTCTGCACTTATAATATCAGCCTTTAAAATTTGTTTGACATATGTTGTGCATATGAAATGGTTTCTCAGTATTATATAAATGAGCATCTTTATATTTACTAATGAAGTTGAACATCTTTTTGTATAGTTTTTGGCCAGGCTTTTTGTCTCTTTTGTCAAATACTTATTTCATGTCCTTTGGCCATTTTTCTCTGGGTTGTTTGTATTCTTTATTGATTATATCATCTCTCAGCTTGTGGCTTATTTTTCCTCCTTTTTAATGTCTTAACAAACAAAGAATGCTGGATTTTAACATAGACAAATGTATACATCTTTTCCTTAATCATTTGTGCTCTTTGTGTTTTGTTTGACATCTTTCCTTATCCTCTGATCATAAAGATATTCTTCTAGGCTTGATTTCGGCTCAGGTCATGATCTCACGGTTCCTGAGTTCGAGCCCTGTGTTGGGCTCTGTGCTGACAGCATGGGGCCTGCTTGCTGTTCTCTCTCTCTCAAAATAAATAAACTTAAAAAAAAGATATTCTTCTATATTCTTTTCTAGAGATTTCAAGGGTTCAATCTTCGTATTTAAGTCTTTAATCCTTCTGGTGTTGATTTTGTGTGTGGTGTAAAGGAGGGATCCAGCTTCTTCAGCTTCTTGTGTTTTTTGTTTTTTGTTGTTTTTTTTTTGTTTGTTTTTTAAAGTAATCTCTACACTTAACATGGGGCTCGAACTCATGACCCCAAGATCAAGAGTAGCATGCTCCACCTACTGAGCCAGCCAGCTGCCCTCAGCTTATAGTTTTTTCATGTGAATAACCTGTTATCCCTATTAAATGAACTTTCCTATCCTCCCTCATCTGTAGTGCCACATCTTAAATTCTTATTTATTTATTTATCTATTTATTTACTTATTTAGAGAGAGGGGCAGAGAGAATCCCAAGCAGACTCAGCACTGTCAGCACAGAGCCTGATACAGGGCTTGATCACTTGATTCATGAGATCATGACCTGAGCTGAAACCAAGAGTTGGACACTTAACCAACTGAGCCACCCAGGTGCCCCTATAGTGCCACATCCTAGGAGAATAAGATGCATCCAGAAGACGCACCTCCCTTCACCTGTGACTTTTGCCCCCTGGCGTACTGGAGGCCTGTCTCCAGAGCCAAGAGCCCTGGAGGCCATTAGCAGGGAAGGCCTTGCTGTTTCACTCTGTGCTTTGCTCTTTAGGTTTCCTGCTGCCCCCAAGAGCCCTTAGACAAAGATGCTGTAGCCCTGGTGAGCTGGTAGGCAGTGAAGTACATTTGGGGGTTTAACATTTCTCCTGCTTCCATGGCCACAGATTCTCCAGCTCTGTATTGGGAACCATGACCTTTTTATGAGGAGAAGGAAGGCTGATTCTTTGGAAGTTCAGCAGATGAAAGCCCAGGCCAGGGAGGAGAAGGCTAGAAAACAGGTGAGAAAGACCATGTCTGAACCACTGTTGTCACTGCTTCTTGGTCTTGGCTTGGGAGGTAAGGAGCAGTCGTAGGCTCACAGGTGTCATTTGGCAATGGACATACCTTCTCTTATTTTATCCCTGTTGGATCTTTACTGGCCAATGCCCAGCTGGTGTGGTGTCTGCTCTGGAAATGAGGAATAAATTCTGAAAGCATATACAAAAGAAACATCTCTAGTTATTTCCCCACTTAAGTGAAGTGGGAGTAATGCAGGTTTGGGAAGAGATAGTCAAGCCTGGGTCTGTCTGTCCATCCATCCATCCATCCATCCACCTAGCTAACTCGCTTTTTTTTTTTTGCCTGCCGGTCTCCTTTGCCCAGCCTTGTCCTTTTCTAATTAGAAGGTGATAGAATGCATGACAGCATCTCATGTTACCGAGGGAATGCTAATTAGACTTCGGCCACACTTCCCCACCACGGGTCAGCCCAGGCGGCATATTGCCTGTGGTGGGAGGTGCCAGGAGAGCTTATCAGCAGACTGGACAGTCCGCATCATTGTTTTCTACTCATAAACTATCTCGGCTCACCGAAATCCACACAACTAATCTGAGCCTCGCTGCTGAGAATATCCACTGTGGCTTTGGACTAACTCCTAGACAGAGTGGCAGCAGCTGCAGTCAGCTGCCCGCAGGACTCACAGGCTCGGAGCAGTAATCATTAGTCTGTGCGCAGCTCTCTGATGTGGGTACTCTGGCGAGGCTGGCTCCCTGCCCTGAGATTTACAATGAAATGCCCAGTTTGATCCAGCTTGCTTTTAGGGCTCCCATCTCTTTGCTGAGATGGCATACTCAGCATGGGATGCTTTGGCGGCCAGGCTGGTGGAATGGGTTTTGTTGGACAAAGAAATGCTCCTGAGCCAGCACGGTCTAAGTGGCAACTTCAAGAAGAGCCTTCTTTGACCTCTTTTCAGCTGAGCAAAGCTTAGAAGTGAGAGATCTGAAGACGGCACTGAGTGTGTAGGCCTCGAGATTGTGGCAGAGAAGAGCGTGCATACACCCCACACCTGCACTGCCTGTGGAACAGCAGAGGCAGGGGCCTGGCACCTGCAGGCCGGGCTCCATGGCCCAGTAGTATAGACACTGACCTTGGAACCAGATGTGAAAGTTAGTATGTGACATTAGTAGATGACTTATCTTCCAGATCTCAGTTTTCTCATCTGTTAAGTGGAGCTAATGGTATGCCTTCTCTGTCTCAGATCAAAGGACACATTGCACCTGAAAGCCTTTGTGAACTTAAACTACCTTGCAAACAAGAGGTCCCTTATTATCGGGTGGAGGTCTAGGGGGAAGTGCAGTGCTGGGAATGGAAGGTGGTTGCCTGGGCTTTTGTCAAGGGGAGAATAATAGAGATACAGTAATCCACCTAATGGAAATTTGTAATGCAGTGGAAATTAGAGAACAAACTGGCCAAGCTTTTCACTGACCTGCAAGGGAAAAATTAGAGAAGAATTTACAGTATTTTATTGCTTGCTATGCATTATTCCTTTGAGGCCCAATGCCTTTTTTTTTTTTTTTTTTTTTTTTTTTTTTTTGGCTCAGTATTTACAAAAGGCAGCAATCTTAAAAATCTTGGGTTTGGGAGAAAATTGAAGCAAGAAGTAATTAAATGTGCTCTATTTAAGGAAGAAAATAGTGCAGTGGTCACTTCTGGCTTCTGCTTTCTGAACTCAGTTAATACCCTAGGATCACAGAGAATAGCACTTGTCCTGTGCTTGTTCCCCTTATTAAGCTCTGCATGTGGCCCAATTAACACAGTGATCCAGAAGGCATGGGAGGTGGCGGCAGCTTTGTACCAGTGCCTTAAGGACAGGGGGCCGTGTTCCCCGCTCAGCTCCCTCCTGTTGCAGGCCTGGCCGGGAGCTGCCTCTGCGTGAGGCTGGGAGCCTGTGCCGTGGGGCTGTGGCTTCCCCCTGTGAAACACAATGTGTGAACTACACGATTCCATCTTCTCTGTGGGTCAGAGGCAGGAGTGATTGTGGATGAAATTAGAGATGTGGGAGGGGTCGTGTGGGTGAGAAATGGTGAGGTGGCTCGTCCAACCAGAAGAAAGCTGTCTGTTTCTGGGGCTCCATCTCAGGGAGAAGGAATCTGCATTGCATCCTGTCCGCTGCTGGGCAGAGCCACGTGAGGTCTTCCAACAAAAAGGGATATCGGCAGGGTAGCCATTTCAGTACACAGTGTGTAAGAATGCCTCCTTCGATCCAGGTGGACTTGGCAGGGCTGGCTTTTTTGTTGTTTTGTTTGTTCCCTCACCCCTAGATGGTTTTTCAAGGGACACAGCTTTTGATTCTCCAGCTGGTTTTGAAGGACAGAGGGTGGTAGGTGACAAGAATGACACTGCCAACCTCTAAAGTAAAGGGATGAAGAGGGTCTCCCTGGGCATCTCCGGACACTGGGCATTCTAGGACCCTTGTGGCAGTGTAGGTCGTGAGCCCCATGACTCTCGTTCCCCCCCCCCCCACCCCAGATGGAGCGGCAGCGCCTTGCTCGAGAGAAGCAGATGAGGGAGGAGGCTGAGCGCACAAGGGATGAGTTGGAGAGGAGGCTGCTGCAGATGAAAGAAGAAGCAACAATGGCCAACGAAGCACTGGTGATTTCTGGGGGAGTCTGGGTCCCAGGAGGCTACACGGGGATTCCCTTGGGTTTTGGGAATTAGGTAGGCCTCCTGAGGACCACAGATAAGTAACATTTGCTTTGACATTTCAGCTAAAAACAAAAACAAAAACAAAAACGGTGCCTTTTCTTTCCACCCATGTTGGCAGGAGATCATGTGTGGCCAAGCCCCACTTTCCCCGGGGTGCCTTTAAAGCAGGGCCTCTCTGCCTGCCTGGGGGTCAGATCACCCTCTGTGATGAAAGTTGTCCTGTGCCTCATAGGATGGTTAGCAGTGTCCCTGACCCCTACCCACTAGATGCCACTAGCACCACCTTACCCTTGATTTGTGACAATCAAAAACATTGTTACCTGTCTCCCACTGGTTTGAACCACGCATTTAAAGGGAAAAGCCTTGGCTCAAGTGGTACTCAAAAAGGTGCTTTCTTGTTGTTCCCCATGGGTGGGACTTTCTGAAAAGTTGAGGGTGTGGCCGTCTGGCCCTTGCCAAAGTGTCATCTGATGGGGCATTCAGTGGCAGGGCCCCGGGGAGTCTGACGCTCTGGTTCCTGCTGACCTGAATTTCTGAGGCCACATCTGGGAGGGATGACAGGCATGTGATCGATTCCCATCCCAGCTGATAGCACCCTTCTCTCCAGATGCGGTCCGAGGAAACGGCTGACCTGTTGGCGGAAAAGGCCCAAATCACTGAGGAGGAGGCAAAACTCCTGGCACAGAAGGCCGCGGAGGCCGAACAGGAAATGCAGCGCATCAAGGCCACAGCCATTCGGACGGAGGAAGAGAAGCGCCTGATGGAGCAGAAGGTGCTGGAGGCTGAGGTGCTGGCGCTGAAGATGGCTGAGGAATCGGAGAGGAGGTTAGAGGTGGGGAGTCCAGGGCACTGGGGCCCAGGCGAGGGGCTGTTCAGTCGTAACCTGGCCCTGAGGCAGAGCTTGACCGCACTTGTCCACAAGCTGCTTCAACTTCTAGGATGGTGGGGTGGGGGGAGGCTCCTCCCTTGACAGGTTGGTGAGGACTGGTACTTAAGCCGGTGTGGGCTTTGGGGGCTGGGGTTAGTGGAAGGGCTCAGGAACACGGTTCTCTAGTCGAGTGGACCTCTGGTCATGCTTGTGTCTGTGATAAACCGCCGTCCCTCTGATAGCCATGTTTGCAGGAATGCCATCAAGCACGTCTGCAGACCGCTTTTAGCTGAGGAGCTGTAAGGAGGCTCTTCTTAATTTTAAAAAATGTGGTTCTTTTCCCTTTTCATTTAGGGGACATGTGGGGAGAGAGCAGCTATTTACCTTTAACGTGGTAATGAGGAACCCACTTCCCTTCAGCCATTCTTGGTGCTAAGGCTCCTGAGGCAGATAGGAGGGGAGGGCCAGGATCCTGTCTGTGGCCAGGATGCGCCAGCTCATGACCAGGTTGAAGGATGGAACTGTAGTCTCCACTTTTCAAAGAGTATTCTAGCCTCTGGATTGTTCTGGTCCTGCAGCCTTCAGATAAACACTGGCACATTCCCCACAGCATTTGGCTCTATTGACCTAGAACACTTGAATTTGGCTTTTTGCTACAAGGTGCATTCACTACGGTTTCCTCTCCGCTTTCTGCATGTTGTTCTGGGAATATGGATCTTTGTTTCCTGCCCTGTCTCAGGCCCCTTTCTTTCTGTGTGTGGGTCACTTCCCCCAAGACCGATGTTGGGCCTGGTCCCTGGGTCCTGTGTCTTGCAGGGTGAGGCACGAAGACCTCAGCGTTGCTGCTCATCTTGCCTGAGGTTGGCCCTGGGCCTGCAGTCGTTTTCCTCGGGGGCTGTGAAGAATCGATTCTTTCTCATCCTGTCCTTCGTGATCCGATATAAGATCTTTGATTCATGCACTGTACCTTTGCCTAGCTCACTCTCACCCACAAGTTAAGCAGAGGAAGCTGTTGGCCCCTCCCCCCTCCTCTCCCTCTACCCATTGCAAAGGTTTGAACTTGACTCCTTCCCAGCAGCTTCCCTGCCCTTCCCATTTAGATTTACCATTGCAGTGAACAGTACTCAGGAATGTTATCCTTGCTTTGGAAGTTCTGATGTTCATGTCAGTGTCCACCCCCCACCACTGGCCTTGTTTGCCTGATCTGGTGCCATCATCAGGGTTAACTCAGGTCCCTCCTCTCCAGGGGGACTGTGGGGAAGAGGGCTGTCTTTCTTCTACCTGTCACCTTCATGGACCTGACATCTCCTCCTTTCCTTGCAGGGCCAAGGAGGCAGATCAGCTGAAGCAGGACCTGCAGGAAGCCCGCGAGGCAGAGCGAAGAGCCAAGCAAAAACTCCTGGAAATCACCACCAAGCCCACATACCCGGTGAGCCGGGCTGGGAGCTGCCAGCCTGCAGCTGCTTCAGACCTTGTAGCTTTCTCTTCCCTCCAGCCCTTCAGTTCCGCTGGTGGTGCCACAGCAGAATGAATGATGCAGAGGGCCTGCAGCTGGGGAAGGGGCAGAATGCCTGGTCTGCCATTGGCCTTGGACTGGTCACCTCTCTGGTTGCCTGGATAGCAGGCAATGGGGCCTTTCCTAGCTCTGAAATGTTTTTCTTTGTCTTTTTTTTTTTAAGTTTACCCATTTATTATTTCTGAGAGAGAATGAACAAAAGCAGGGGAGGGGCAGAGAGAGAGAGGGAGATAGAATCTGAGGCAGGCTCCAGGCTCTAAGCTGTCAGCACAGAGCCCAACCTGGGGCTTGAACTCATGAACCGTGAGATCATGACCTGAACCGAAGTTGGATGCTTAACCAACTGAGCCACCCAGGCACCCATGTTTTTCTTATTCTAAGTAATATAGTCCCAAATTATTTTTAAGAGATGATAGCTGCTGCTGCTGCTGCTTTTTTCTTTCTTCTTTTTTTTGAGAGAGATGCAGGCTTGTAAAGTGAAGCAAGGGTACAGAGAGAGAGAGAGAAGTGGGGCTCACTTGGCACTTATGTTTTACCTAAAGTGAGGCTCATGTTCACCCGAAGTGGGGCACGAGCTCACCTGAAGTGGGGGCTCGAGCTCACCCGATGTGGGACTTGAACTCACAACCTGTGAGATCATGACTCCGGGCTTAGGGACAGACTCAGGCACTTAGAGACGTGCAGCTTCTTGAGATGCCAACAACGTAATCTCAACTACCTTTGTGTAATGTATACCATCACAGAAAGTTCTGGGTAGGGGTACGTGGGAGGCACTCAGGGTAAAATCCAGAGTATAGCCATGTAAGAACCATTTTCCAAACTCAATTTTGGGACAAGGAGGCAGACTTCACTAAACAGGTCACACATGGGTGGCTCAGGTCGGTTGAGCTGCCCCGATCAGTCAAGCCAGGGCTCACACTGGTAGTCCATGAGTCTGAAAGCCCCTGCTGTCAAGGCTCTCACACATGGCTCAGAGCCTGAGCCTGCTTGATTCTGTATCTCCCTCTCTCTCTGTTCATTCTCTGTCTCTCTCTGTCTCAAAAATAAATAAAAACGTTAAAAAAAATTAAAAAAATAAAATAAAATAAAAAAATAAATAAACAGGGTCACACCATGAGTAGACAAGCCTCTTCCCTTCCCTTCCTCTGTGCATTCAGTTCAGCAAACTGTTCTGTTCCATATAATACCAGGCACCTGGATAGTTCAGTTGATTAAGTGTCCAACTCTTGGTTTCAGCTCAGGTCACTATCTCACAGTTTTGTGGGTTCATGCCCCGCACTGGGCTCTGCACTGTTAGCATGGAGCTTGCTTGGGGTTCTTTCTCTCCCTTTCTCTATCTCTCTGCCCTTCCCCTACTCACACTGCCTCTGTCTCTCCCAAGTAAATAAATAAACTTAAAAAAAATAATAATGCCAGTCAGATGCAGAGTCTGTATACAGACAGGGTGCACAGAGGCCTGGAGGGGAACATAGCCCAGCTTGTAGGGGCAGGAGAGGCATAGGATCGTGCCTGAGCTGGCTCTCAAAGGCTAAGGAGGAGCTAGCCAGGCGAGAAAGAGACTGTAGGGTATTCGCAGCCGGTGCACAGATGTGCACATGGCACAGTGTGTGCACTGCACACTCACAAGGCATGCAGCCAGGAGGCACACAGGGCACAGCGGCGTAAGCTGCCCAGGGTTTGAGGTGGAGGGAAACGTGAGCGGTTTCCTATTGTCATCTGTTCTGGTTATCTATTACTATGTGACAGGCCACCCCCCAAGCCAGCCATATAGCTCAAAACAGCCATTTGTTATTCTCTCTCATGGCTTGGTGCATGGCTTGGGCTGATGGTCCTTCCTCAGAATCTCTGAGGCAGTCGCAGACAGCAGCCAGGACTGGAGTCATCTGAGGGCTCATCTGGGCTGGGCACCTGAGATACAAGTGATTTTAAAATATATACTGGAATGGGGTAGCCTGGCTAGCTCAGTAGGTAGAGCATGCAACTCTTGGTCTAAAAATAGATGGGTAGGTAGGTATGTAGGTAGGTAGAAACAAAGGGAGGGAGGGAGGGAGGGAGGGAGGGAAGGAAGGAAGGAAGGAAGGAAGGAAGGATAGGGAGGGAGGAAGGAAGGAAGAAAGGAAGGAAAGGAGGAGGAAGGAAGGAAAGAGGAAGGAAGGAAAGGAGGGAGGGAGGAAGGAAGGGAGGAAAGGAGGAAGGAAGGAAGGGAGGGAGGAATGAAGGAAGGGGGAAGGAAGGAAGGAAGGAAGGAAGGAAGGAAGGAAGGAAGGAAGGAAGGAAGGAAGGAAAGAAAGACACTGGAGCAAACTTCATGTGCTCTTCAAACAGTAAATAAATAAGTCCTGGAGGAGCTCGTTCATATCAGCCTTTTACTCATATTTCATGGTATGGATGGATTGTAATTCATCTAAGCAGTCCCCTATGGATGGGTATTTAGTTTGTTTTCATCTGCAGTTGTGAACAAAACTGCAGAAAATATCCCTGAGCATAAATCTTCGCACATACGGTGAATGTACTGGTAGAATAAATTGTCAAATAGAACCGTGGGGTCAGGTTTTCCATCGAGATGCTTTCCACAGAGGTTGTCCCAGTGTCTGTTCTCACCCACAGTGCAGCACTCAGCGCCCGTCTTTTTGGAGATTTTGATGAGGTATAACATCCATACAGGGAAGTGCCCCAAATTATAACTGTACAGCTTGATGCATTCTCGCAAACTCAACACACCAATGCACCCAGCACCCAAATCAGAAAACAGAACGTTCTAGTACCCCAGAAGCCCCCTCTCAGCACCACCTTCAACACCCACGCAGACAGTCTGCCTCAAGCCTGTCATCGTCTCAGATGAGCGCTCTGGGCCTCTGCTCTTTCCCAGACGCTGTCCCAGACTCAGCCAAGGATCCAAGGGTGAAAGAGAGGCAGATCCTGCCCTTAGGAAACTTGCCAACAGTAAAAGAAGAAGACGCAGCCAAAAGGGATTTTTTACAGGGTGGAGTTAGGGAAGTGCCACCACAGAACCAGAAGCACCATGTATAGCAAAGAAAAGAGTTGCCATCTGGCCGAGAGGGATCTAGAAAGGCTTTGGTGAGAAATCCTAGTATTTGAGAAGGGCCTTGAAAGTGAGGTGGCGTGTAGCAAAAGGAATAGTTTAAGCAAAGGAGCAGAAACAGTGATGTTCACGATCCAATAGGGCAAACAGTAGGAAACACGGGAGAAGTAGATCGGGGCCATATTTGAGATGACCCTTTGTTCTGGGATGAGAAAGTCCTCAAATCTAATTGCTTTGCCGTCTGCTTCAAGCCCTGCTCTGGCTCTGTCTTCCAAATCCAAACCCTCAGCATGCAGGGCAGCCCTCTATGGTCTAGTCCCGGCCCCCCACCCACCTCACCACACCGGTGCCGCAGACCCTCGGCTTTCTCGCCAAGCATGCTCTGCCCTGCCCAGTGCCGTGCCTCTTGCCTGGCATGTCTTTTCCTCTGTCATATCCTCTGCTGCCAACATAGCATACCTTCTCCAGCTCCCCGGCCTCTGTTCAATCCCTGGCTGTAGTGTCTACCTTACTTAACCGGGATGATCTGTAAGCACCTTTGTTTACTGAACAATACTGTCAGCTGCTCAGAGCCAGGGACCCTGTCTTGTTCTCTGCATCTCCAGCTCCTAGCCTGGGGCTTGAGGGCTTCCTCAACAAAGAAGTGAGTGGGAGTAGTGTTTAATTTGGCTGAGCGTGAAAAGCTGGCAAAGGTTCGAGGGAAGAGGAATGATTTGTCTGGATTTGTAGTCTTTGGGGCCAGTCACCTGGGAGTAGCCAGTGTGGGTAGATGGGGAACAGGAGAGACTGGGGTAACATGAGGCCATGGTGGTGCTGGGAGGCAGGGCCTGAGCTGTGTGCCCATTTCTGTGGCTGCTGGAGGATCAGTGGTTAACACAGCAGTGCCCCCTGTTCCCATAGAACCCGAACCTCCTAACCAGACATTTCTCATTCATAGCCCATGAACCCAATTCCAGCGCCATTGCCTCCTGACATGCCAAGCTTCAACCTCATTGGTGACAGCCTGTCTTTCGACTTCAAGGATACTGACATGAAGCGGCTTTCCATGGAGATAGAGAAAGAAAAGTACGTAGTTTCCTGACTTCCATGCCCCCAGCCAGTGAGCTAGAGTGGGGCCATCTGAGCTTGGGAAAAGTGGAGGGTTATCACAAGCATCTGTCACTAGCCCCTGCAGGATTTGCTCTGTTCCCATCCTCTGGAGGAAGAATTTCCTCATCAGAACTGAAGGACGTCACACCAGCGTCCAGTCTTCCAGGATAACAATGATACTTGATTGGTGACCTGGAGTTTACAGGGCTCAAAACCTCACCTACAGTCTCAGACTGGTTTTCCGGGAACTCTGAGTCAGTCAGACTGCTGTTCACGTGGCGATAGAGCACATGATAGTGTTCTAACACAGTAACAGAACATGCTTCCTAGTTGTGTCCTCTGGCGGCCGAGATCTGTGGCACTTCCCATGTCTAGGACAAGGGTCAGAGAAGAAACTCGGGCTCGAGGCCGAGGAAGGCAAACGTCCAGGTCAGGCTGGCCCTGCTGTCCAGGGCAGCCCTGAGCTGAACCCCCACATGCCCTGTTCACAACAGCTTCTGCTGTCATGGTTGGTGGAAGTGGAGCTGAGGTGGAAAGTAGAAATCTAACTGAGGTTCCCCCAGATTCCCAACCACAGATCAATTGGCCACTCAGGCCACAGCTTACTGGAGAACCATCACAAAAGCTGCTGGGTGTTGGGTGCATCAGTGTCCAGTCTTTTTTTTTTTTTTTTTTTTTTTTTTTTTTTTTTTTTTAATGTTTGTTTATTTTTGAGAGAGAGAGAGAGGGAGAGAGAGACAGAGACAGAGTGCAAGTGGGGAAAGGGCAGAGACAAGGGGAGACACAGAATCTGAAGCAGCCTCCAGGCTCTGAGCTGTCAGCACAGAGCCCAATGCAGAGCTTGAACTCAGAAACTGTGAGATCATGACCTGAGTTGAAATCCCACACTTAACCAACTAAACCACCAGGTGCCCCCCTGGGTCTTTTTAATGTTTATTTATTTTTGAGAGAGAGACAGAGCATGAGCCAGGGAGGGGCAGAGAGAGAAGGAGGCAAAGAACCCGAAGCAGGCTCCAGGCTCTGAGCTATCAGTACAGAGCCTGATGGAGGGCTCGAACTCATGAACCGCAAGATCATGACCTGAGCCGAAGTCGTATGCTTAACCAACTGAGCCCCTCAGGTGCCCCATGTCTGGGCTTTTTAGCTTTGTCTCATTTCATTCCCACTAACTAGCCTCAAACATCAGAGGTAGGTTTTAGTGTGCCATTTATAAATGAGAACACAGATCTGGAGTGTTTAACGAACTCACCCAGCATCGCACAGCTGATGAGGGACAGAACCGGGATTCAGCTCCAAGCCCATCTGAGGGTATGTGCTTTCACCTTGTACAGTATCCTTGGAAGAACTGTCTCGGGACAGTGCCTCTTTGGAGCTCGGGGTGAGCAACCACGAGCCTCTCCGTGGTATCTGCTGTCCAAGTTCATCTTCAAGTCTTTCTCCATTGACCAGGCATAGTAAGCATTTCGTGGTTGTGATCAGGGAGAGGCTACATCCTGTTCCGTGTTCTGCTTTTTTATAGTTTGTATTTTCTTATCACCCATGCATGTGACATTACCATCACATGACAGACTCCATATACTAGCCATGGGAATCACTACAGAATTAGCATTTATATTGCATGATTTGCCTGGCCATGACATTATAGTTGGACACTTTGAGAATGATTTCCAGATTTTCACCATTGTAGATACAGTGTATCTACCTGCAGGTGGTGGTGGGAATCTTTTTCTTCCTGATATTGGCCGAGCAAGCTTCCATTCTGTTTAGGAGATGATGTCCCAAAACAAGTAGGGATGTGGCCACGGCCTAGCAGAAGAGGTCACTTGAATAGAATCACTTAACCAAGAAGGGCCAAGACGAGGAGATTGTTTTGGATGTCAGGAGTCTTGATTCATGTGTTGTTGCTTGTGCGGAATTAAAAACTATCTACTGTAACTGGTATTTGTAGAGCGCTTTCAGAGAGTTTACCAGAGGGCTTTCCTACCCTTTATTTTGCTTAATTCTGACCACAGCCCTGTGATCATTAGCCCAACCTCATGGCCAAGGAAACAGATTCAGACCTATTTAGCGATTGGCCCAGGCTCCCACGGCCTGGGAGTGTCTGAGCAGAGATGTGATGAACTCCATCCAGGCTGCAGACCCTAGATCCCATGTCTCACTGTTGCCAAAGCCATGATACACCATGTCCTCTTGCTGGCAGAGTGGAATACATGGAGAAGAGCAAGCATTTACAGGAGCAGCTCAATGAACTCAAGACTGAGATTGAGGCCTTGAAACTCAAAGAGAGGGAGACAGCCTTGGACATTCTGCACAACGAGAACTCTGACCGGGGTGGCACCAGCAGCAAGCACAACACCATCAAAAAGGTACCGAGTCTCCCGTCTTTCACTGATCAGGACAGTCATTAATGAAATGGAGGTTGGCATCTGGTTTCCTGAGTAGCCAAGTCATTAGACTGTTATCATTTTTTATACATACTTAGTTGAGGAAATTTTTTAACTCACGCCAGAAAGGGAATTTAATCCGCCAGTGACTGTGAACCCATTGGCTTGATGGAAGGGGAGCCTGTGTTAAAAGCTCTGATGAAATGAATCACTGTTACGAGACAGGTTTTGATCCATCATTTAGCAGTAAAGCGATTCTGTCTTTTAAGCCAAGGGGAGTTCTGCCCAGGGAGCTGCCTTACTTCATGAGAAAGCAAAATGAAACAGAGGCTTTTGAGAATGGACTCTCCCTCTAGTCTTTTTGGGTTATTAAGTGGCAAGAACTATTTAAAAAATCCTGTTCTTACTTTAAAGAAACCAAATTCTGAATTTTTAACGTTTTTCATACTTAAAAGGAAGTGTCTAGAAGAACCTTAATGTTTTAAAAGATGAAACTTCATTTATGTTGCTATCAGTTTCAAATTGTTCTCTACTGATATTTTGAGCGTTCAGGTTTTAGAGAAGGTTAAATTCCATAAATATCAGCCCAAGAGTGTGCTTCTCTCTCGGACAAAGCACAAACGGCCCCTCCTGCTGGTTTGTTCCTGACTTATAGCCCAGGGTCAGGCTAATACCTGTAAAAGAGGTGTCATTAAGATGAGACTGTTCATTGAGTTTAGATCATGATGGTTTACCTAAGTTTAATTTTTTACTCTTTACCTTATTCTTTAGAGTGGTCTCCAGGTTAAGGAATATCTGTTTTCAGTAGTTAAGCTGCATCTGAAAACTCCAAGGGTTCTATAGCTACTTGCCAGTGCTAATGGGTACAGTTGGGAGCCTCAAATTCCTTCTCTGTACTCCAGTTAGTATTGGCACCGGGTAGAGAATTCCTCTTAATAGCATAGCTGAAAAGGAAAGGCCTTTCCCCATTCCACATTCTTCTTCCCTCTGGCTTCCGTTATTTACTGGGTTTCACTTCCAAAACTAAATTATTGAACAGTTAGTGAAAGGGGAACTAAAGTGAGGCCTCAGCCAGTGAGCCGAGAGGTAAAATGATGACTGGGCCAGGGAGCCAGTCAGCCCTCGAAGGAGCTTCCTCAGGCACCCCACCCCCAACCCCCCGCTCCTGTCCCCAGGCTCCTCATCTGGGCACACTGAAAGGTCTCGTCTTTGCTGTTGCTGCCGTGAGCCAGGCCCTCAGGAAAGCCGGAGGGACCTGTTTCCAGGCCATAAAAACAAACAAATGAAGTCACTTGTCACCATTTCAGGCCTGTCTGAGCATTTTGCAAATGGCACATGTGGCATTTGTTGATATCACAGGGTATGTTTTTGTTTTTCTTCATTTTATTTTGCTGGTTTAGCCTCAAGCCCAAGGCAGAAGACCTATCTGCATTTGAGCCCTCAAAGTAGGTTATCCCAGGTACTCTTTATGTGGTGATGGTACTACCCTCTGTGATACTAACCCATGCATGAGCTTGCCTGTCTCTGTCCCTGGGCCATGCCGAGCCCTCCCGAGGGCAGGTGGCACTGGGTACTGGCCGCAGCATGCTTTGAGTCTGAGAGCAGGCGTCCGCCCTGTGGGGCCAGACCAACCTCCGGGGGTTCAGAAGGCTGCCTCGTTCTGAAGAGCATGTCATGGGGCTGTAGGACCAGCTGTCCATCACATTTTGTGTCATCGTTGGGCTGGGGATGGTCATGGCTTCTCGTCCAGTGAGGTCTGTCTAAAATCCTTTGTCTCAGTGGCATAGTCCTTAGATAAATAGCTCTAGCATGGAAATGGGATAGATCTGGGTGTCTTTAACTCAAGATCAAGACCTTTCATGTGGTGACAGCTTCTGAAGACCCATGGTCATACCTGGTCGCGGAATGAAGGGGCTGTCCTCACTCACTCATTTGCCTTTAGAGCCTCCCCTTTCTGTACACATCCACTTTCTTTCCAAGTCAAGCAAACCAACAGTACAGCGGTCTGATCTGTAGCCCATCTAAGTGGACCATCTATCTGTCTGTCGGTGCTGTGAAGACTGTCTCTGCTCAGCTCCTCCACAGCCTGGGGCAGAGTTGTGGTCAGCATGAACTCACATTGGGACAGTCGCTGGCACCCAATAGATGAGCAGTCAGTGGTTGTTGAGTGAATTAATGGAATGATTGCTCCTTTCCTTCTGCGATAGTTCATCATCCTCCCAACATGCCTCGGCAGCAGGGAGAATTTATTATGCCCGGTAATAACATAACATCCTGCCTCTGCTCCTTACCTAATCCCCAGCGGTACGCCAGCCAGTGGGCCCACCAACACCTGACAGTCGCGTAGGATGTGTCCTTTGGTGTCCTCGCCACAGTTTCTGCTGTTAGAATAAAATAAGCTCACTGGAAGCTTTCTACCAAAAAGTGAGATCTGGCATAAGATAGACCTTATTTGTGGTTGTTATCCAAGCAAGAGAGGTTAGCTACTAAAGTCCCAGATGGATCTCATTATAAGATGGATTCTGTCTGTCAGTGGTTCCAAGAGCCCATAGCATGAACCTCAATTTGTGTGTGACACTTTCATTTAGCGGGCTCCTATTTCTTCAGCTTTCATACCACACATTGGCATCAAACGCCCTGACACCAAGCAGCGCGTGCTCTGAGCAGGGCAGTATGACCAACGCTGGAGTTGGGCAGGCCAGGGGGATCATCTGTCCAAGTGGTGACCCCACGGTGCCCAGAGGACCCTGGGGTGGATCCGCTTTGGTTTCCTGGACTTTGTGACTAGCACAGGGTCCAGCAGAAAAATCCCTTTTTGTGTCAGCCTGTGCTGTCAGGCATTCCTGCATATGACCATACCATTCCACCTTGATACGATTTCATCTGTCTTTTTTCTGTAATGATTCAGAATGTTTCGATTCTTCAGGGACCTGATTTTGACCGCCAGTTCTCACTGAGCTCTTATTATAGACAAATGAGGTTTGATTTGCAGTCAGATTTGTACTGCTCCGAGGACATTTACAGAAGTCTTTTTTTTTTTTTTTTTTTTTTTTTTTTTTTTTTTTTTTTTTTTTTTTTTTTTTTTTTTTAATGTCTTGATGTGAACTTGTTTTCAAAGCAGGCTGCCAGATTCCAGTTAATCAAGAATTCTGATTACTCGAGGGTTAACAGAAGAATGGGCTCGGCTTTTAATAATAGCTGGACTTATCTCAGCATTACTAGATTAAATAGTGGCAGTTTTTGCTACACTTCACGTTTGATTCTCTTTCCATTTTCTGGACTTTGCTGGTCCCTGGGGCTAGTGACTAAGCATGACGAGTAGCCACCTGCCTGTGCTGGGGTAGCCCTGGGGCTGTGCCTACTGTAGTCTGGGCCAAAGTAAGCCTAGTAAAGAGAAACACCACTGTGGGCTTTGGAAGTTTGGGCACCTAGAGTGTGAAGGTCAGAGCTCCATCTACAAAGTCTAGGACGAGAAATGCAGAGACTGGTGGTGACCTGGAGAGCTTCCAGTGTCCTGAGAGCCCATTAATCTTGGTTCAAACCAGGCTGCATTGATTTTTGTTTTGTTTTTAATGTTTTCTGATCATAGATTTCTTCAAGAAAAGAATGGTTCTACCTACCTCCCACAACGCAGGCATGTTCCTTCTTCTCACCTTCAGTACTTTCCTGCCTCACTGTGAGGTCCCAGTGTCCTCTCCGCAGTACTCTCACTTAAGCTAATTCCAGGGATTACCCTTGGGTTCAGGGCTTAGTTATAATGTTCCCTTGGGAATGCCAAGAGGCTGTCCCGTCTGGCTAACCGAGGTTACCACTACTCTGCCACTCGTTTTCTCTGTAACTCTTACTTTCTCTTAATGCCCAGTGTCCTCACCTGTAAAAAGTGAACAAAACAGTTCTTAACCCCCAGGATCGTTAGGAGGATTAAAAGAGGTAACACCTCTTTTACACAGGAAGAGCTCAGCAAAGAGTTTCCATGAGTTTGGAGGTAAAAACTTTGAAGAAGCCAGAATTAACATCACTGGTTCTTTTGCTATCCGATTTGAGTTTGCAAGGGTATATTTTGTTCCTCCTGCCAATCTTAACTGCCCACATTTCCACTTCGCCCCCCCCCCCCCCCCCCCCCCCCCCCCCCCGCCCCCACCCTGCCATTGATAATCAGTGCAGCTGGTTTGGCATTTGCATGTGATTCAGAGTGGCACCTAGTTGTCAAGAGTCGCTCTTAAGAACCTAGATTCATTTCATTCTCAGGGGGAGCGACAGCAACACATACTTCTGGCCTCCGAGTCTTTTGAGTGAGGGAGTGAGGTCCGGCAGTGAGGCTGGAGTGAAGGGGACACAGGTGCCGTGGGCTTCAGAGCCACAGTGCCGAGGAAGTGAGCTGTGGCCGGCTGTGCCGCACACTTTGGAGGTGAAGATGCAGTGCCAGAGCTTGTACATTTCGGGGTCTTGCTCTCATCCCCTCTCAGGGGACAGTTTTCACTCCCCGATCCTGAGCTGGTCTGAGTGCCAGCAAACTTGTCATCATTTTTGTGCCCATGATCTCCAAGGGAGCACAGGGTTTCAAAGGAAATCGACAGAGGACAAAGCATGAGGATCGTGGAGCTTAGAAAGTTTATTTTATTAGTAAATGGTTTGAGCCATCAAGGTCCAGCTGTGGTTTCCACTGGTGGAGGAACAGGAATGAGTAGCCTTGACAGTTCTCTGAAGCTCTAGCTGCCGCTTGGATCCAGAAGACATAAAAGTCCAATGTCATCTTCAATTTGCACTGACTCCCCTTGGAGATGCAGGGCTGGCGAAGTGAAGTAGAACACTTAGAACACCAGGGAAGTGATAAATCACAGGGCAGGATTGAGTATGCGTGAAAGGCTTCTCCCACAATTAAAACCAACGGCCAGAGCCTCCCTGGTGACCTCTGGTCGCCCGCCTCAAAGAGGGCTCTGGTTAGTTTCTGATGCTTGTGTGTAGTTAATGTGTTCAGCCCTTCCATGACCCCGGTCACTGGACCCGAGCTGGCAGTTGGCTCTGCCTGCTTTGCAAACTGGGCATCGTCTGGTGCGGCATCCTCTGCCCTGACTTAAAGGCAGCGTGCACTGGCTCCCAGCTCCAGAACCTTTCTTTTGTTGCTGTTGAAGGGTGACAGAGGCAGGAGGGGGGAGGAGAAGAACGGGGGTGGGAGTGGGGTGGGAGCAAGGATTAGCAAGGAGCAGCAGCACTCAGGTGTGGATAGAAAACACGTGGAAGAGATTGCAATGGCGAACTCTTCCCTGCTCTGTGGGAAGCACAGCGAAAGCATTGGGAAGCACAGCCTGGTCTCCGGGAGCCTGCTCTTCCTGGATGCGATGCTTGGGCTCATCCCCGAAGGCCACTCTTACCTTAACACGTGCACCAGCTAGATGTCCAGGTGCCTATCAACTGGGGAGGGCTTACCATTCTCTTGCTTGTTTCTGGTAGCTCTCTAGATAGAAGATTCTGCCAGCCTCTTTTCCAAAAGACCACGACCTAGTTCCTCTTCTTGGTTGGGAGACTTTACCCAGTCAAGCAGTTGCCCTTTGGGGAGGCGTTGAAGATCCTACAAAACCTGCTTTGCCCTCTTAGGATGTTTTACAACCATTTGGAAGTGCCTGGGGACATTATTGGGCCTTATTTGATGCAATAAAACATCCCATTTGGTCCCTCAGCACTGAAGATGTGTTTCAGTGCAGCCTTCCTCCGGCACCTGATTTGTTACTGCAACAGTGGGAGGGAAGAGATGGGATGCAAACTCATTCTGCGGGCTCGAGGTTCTGTTCTTATGATCCTTGCTGTGATTTCCCTTCTGATATTGGCAATTTGAAAATGACATCAGCGTGTCTGCACCTTTTTGCTAAGGTACTCAGTGCTCAGAGAACTCTGTAGCTATGAGTTTGTCTCTACCTGCCCAGTGAAGTGAATCAGACTGATTAGTCCATTTTCCAGGTAGAAGGACGGAGTAGCAAAGGCGCCTGCCAGCATCTCACGGGCAGCTCAAGACACAGGCACACACCAGTTTCCAGGCATCTTCCTACTTTAGGTCCTTAAAAGATTAATATACAAAAGAGACCCTCTGGGCTTTCCCTGAATTGAATTCATTAATTGGGATGGACTTGGCCTTTCATCCCACCCCTGTTTAGGGATAAGTGTGCGCACAGCTCTCTCCCCGTACACATCACCAGATGGCATTTGGGTGCAAGCCGTCACTAGCAAGACGGCAGAAGCGCTTAATCTGGCCAGTGTACAGCAACTATCCCCCTTCACTGGCCTGCCCCCTCCTTGGCTCTGATTTGGAAGGGGGGATGTTGATCACACCCTAAACCAAAGATTATGTTGGAATTTGCTGCTGCTGATTTGGCTGTCACCTTTCTGCTCCAGAGTTGGCTTTCTCCTGGTGGATCCCAGCGCCAGAGAATCCGCATGTCCTTTTGAATCCGTGCCCTCCCCCGCTCCTTCATTTTTGATATG